CAAAAATCAAATTTAAACTAGATCATGAATCTTTTGATATAACAAGTATCAAAATTGGTATAGTAAGACAAATAGTTGTACAAAACTTTTCCTTTTTATAGCTAAAGCAGTTTCCTGCTTTTATAAAATCAAAATTTATTGATTATGTAAAAAATTATCAATATTTTTTCTATATACATTTCAAAATTTCTAGTTTATTATGAATCTTTCAAAGAGAGAGATTTATTCAATCTTATCAAATATAGGAAATCCAAAAATTAATGGGAAGACCTGAACTTGCTAATTTGGAATAAGGTCCAAAATAATTAAATCCAACAATTCAAAAATTTTCCTCTCCCAGCAAATACCAATTCCAATCAAGGATAACAATGATGGATTATGCAAGAACCTTACACTGTGAAATCCTCAAATCTCAATACCCTCAAGTTTCAGCTCAAACAGATGAAAGATGAATACTTATTCAAAGATCTTATACTGAAGAAAATTTGCTACCAATAGAACCAGTAGCCCTGGAACTATTGAGTAAATTATCCAATATGAAAGATCTTGAGCATCCCCAACATTTATTACTTCAATATAAAAAAGAATAAAATTTATGGAATAAATTAAGAACTCAATCTCCTCAATCTTTCAATCCAGATGATGAGGAGTTAGTTAACCTGGATAATATTTATGAAGGATAATCATCAGTAGACAACAAGAATTTGCCAGTTCAATATTTGTCTCCATCACAAAAAGTAATGGCTGACAAAACATTATAGAAGTAAAAAAAATTTGTAGACTTTTGTAACTCAACCAGAGCCTAAAATACTAAAAAGTAACCTAACCAAGGTTAACTAATTATTATAAATAAACCTTTGATCTAAGGGAGAAATGAGACTTTCTTCTTTGCTCTCTCTTCTTTCTTCCTTTTTTTTTTCTTTTGTTTTCTCTATTTTTTATAATTGGTACCAGAGCTTGAGTTTGTTTTCTTTTTAGATTGTAGATATATATATTTTTAGTGTATGTATCTTCAGTGTGCTTTTTAAATTTGTAAGTCTTCTTCTTCTTTACATATTTATGCTTATTGTTTTATATTTTAAAACCTATATATCTATTTTTTTAGTTTTCGCTAGTGTTTGTTGTAATAAAGCTATTTAATCTAGCTTTTTTGAAACTCGTAATGAAAAATAAACGATTTTAGGTACAAAAAATATGGAACAATTAGAAGAATCTTGTATAAGCCCAGAAAAAAACTTATAATCATAGCCTGCACATTGAACCACAGTTTGAATCACAACCATAGGCAATCAGCTATAGCATAAATGGTTTGGTTGATTTATCTACTTCCTTTTTTAAACATCTTTTTGTAAAAATTGATAAAAATAGAATAAAAAATTGATGATATTAATCAAAAAGTAGATAATAAAAATCAAACAATTGATTTTGGACCACTTTATTATGGAAACACCATAGTTGCACTTAATGATGATAATCCATCATCCTCGAATCCTTTACCTTTCTCTAAACAAGAGAAAATATATTTTCAATCTTACAAAAGTTTGATTGAATATCTGAAGTTTAAAATGGAAAAAAAAAAAAAACAAAGGATTCTAAATAAAGGATTGAATATTCAAACATAATTAAAGAACTTTATGAAACTCATAAAGAAATCTTTAAGAAATTCAATTATCATTATATGCTTAATTACGATACAATTGATGAAATTAGTGATAATGATAATTCAGATAATATTTTAGTTACTAATCTAGTAATTAAAGAAGGAAAAAACTATTTTTATAGATACAGAATATTTCTAAAGAAACAAAAGAAAAAAAAACCTAAAAACATGAATCCTTCACCTATGAAAATAGATCAACAAAAAATTGATCAAGAAAAATGAAAATTAGCAGAAGTTTCTAATCCAAAAACAGATGACATTCTTAAATTTCTTGATATGAGTAATCTTGAAATTATTGCATAACTTACAAATAGGGATTAAATTAAACAAACAAATATAGAACAATTAGGTTAAAGTTCTCAAAGTACTATGACTATAGAATCTCTAAACAAAAGAAATGTTGCTTCTAGTGGTACTTATTTAAATCTATCAAAAGTTCCTCTTTCTGATTATGGAAAAACCAAAGAAGATTGGACACAATCAATGTCCATTATTGTTACATGATATAAAGATTCTTGGACAAAAGCAAAATTTTAAAATTATTTTTGTGGAACATGGCAAGGCAATGTTTTACAGTTTTTAAGAAAATAAAAAAAATTCTAAAACAGGAAAAACCCAAAAAGGGACTCTTCTAATTCAAGTTACTACAATCCCAAATCTTTTAAAAAGTCTAACACAAAATCTTAAAAATGAATTTTGTTGTAAGATGGATGAAGTTGATCTAAGCAGTGAAGCTTAGTTTATTCTTTCAAAAATGAAACTTTGTAATATTAGAAATTTAGAAGAATATTCTAAAAAATATATGAGTGAATATCAAAAATTAAATGAATCATATTCAAATTTTTTGAAGGAACAATATTTTCACAAACTTCCTTCACCATGAGATGAATTATATTTAAAAAATTACTCTTCTTATTTAGAATTACATATTTCAAAATCCTATTCTAGTAATAATTTATCTTATTATGACACTTTAGGAAATCGTGTTTATTTTGCTTAAAAACAAATTGTTGAATACTATCTTAACCAAAAGATAGCTAAACAAGTTAAAAACAAAATTAGTGATAAACAATGCACTAGGATTTTATAACATGAATTTGAATTTGGTTGTAATAAACAGACTAATAATTATTATCAAAAAAGTCAAAAACAAAAAAGGTATAAAATGATTAAATGGAAACCTAAAACCAAGGTTACCAAAGATAAAAAATTTGTTATTAGAAGAAAATCTTCTAATAGAAAGAAAAAATCAAAATGAAAATGTTTTATTTGTGAAGAAGAATGTCATATAGCACCACAATGTCCTAAAAAAGGCAAAAGTGCAAAAAACGTCATCAAAACTCTCGAAAAATGAGATTTAGCAATATATTTTGCTAAAAAATTATCTGATGATGAAATTTTCTATGAGTTAATTTCTGAAATAGAATCAGATTTTGATAGCGAAACAAAATATATTTTTATGATGAATTCTTCCAAAAATTTTGTTGAAGAAACAAATTCAAAAATATCCTCTGTTGAAACACAACAGATGACTTCTTTTCGTGATTGCTTAGGAGAAACTCATACTTTAATAGAAGATGAGATTTTTAAAATGTAAATTGTCAAAAAATATGAGAATTATAAAACCTCAATTTTTAAGAAACTCCAACCTTGGGTCAAACGTCACATTGAAAAAGTTAGTGATGACACAGTAGCCAATAATCCTAAACAAGATCAGTAGATGTTCCATTTGGTATAATCCTTCATAAAAAAAGTATCTCCACCGAGCTTATGTTTGAATCCAAATAGAACTTTAATCAGCTATGTTTCAAAAGAGAAAAAGGCACTTTTAAATAAATAGCATTTTTGTTATGATTTAATAATTGAAACTTTCAAACTAAAATATAACTATTTTAATAGTACAAATATTTTAATATTTTAATATTTTAATATTATTATATTAATAAAAATAAAATTTTAAAATAGTAGTACTATTTTAAATATTTTAAAATATTAATATAAATAATAAATATTTTAAGTGTTTGATATTAGTATAATATTGTAATATTAACTGTTATTATTAAAATAAAATTATTTTTTAATACTAATAAATATAGTAATAAATAATTTCAATATAGTTAATTAATAAATAGTTTTTAATATGTTAATAGTTATGTGAATATTATTTTTAAAAAATAGATTTTTTTTTAAATAACTAAACAACAGAAAATATTTTTTATTAACTCATCCAAATAATAAAAAATCTCTACTTTTTCAAAAAATATAAATATTTTTCAAAAAACATTTTTTAAAAATCAATTTCCGTAAAACAAATATAGTCTAAACCCCAAATTTGAGTGTTAATGCCTTGGCGATTATGTATATGACACAAGAACATGTCTACATTGATTTGTATATATATTATACCTTGAAATTATGATAGATTAACAAATGTCCCTAAATATGGCCATGATTGATTGGATTGATGCCTTTTAAGCAAAGATATTGTGTGAGGAGTTATATAATGCAGTTCCCTTGGCATTTCATAGTAATACTTTCTTTTAAATTTTAGTGACAAGTTTCCTGGATCCCTACTCCAGACTTTCAAACAAATAGAATTTCTACCAGGCAATTAATTGGTTATGGTCAGATTTTTTCTGCAACAGCTCCAAGATGCAATGTCTTTCATTGATGATGAAGGCCTTGGAATGACAACCAAACTTCAAAACCTTAGGAAAGACATTGAGCAATGTAAGTAATGCAATGCATCTGTAATTTGCCCTCAAAATGTCAAAACTGGAGGGATCACTGAATAAGGTTAATGTTGTAGCAGCCGTCATCACTACTTCCACGTGAATTGCAACATTTATTTGATAGAATCATGTGACTTGAACTATATAGGATTTGAACGGCCTCTCCTTTTAGGTAAAACAGTCTATTGTTGAACCCAAAACTATGGCTGCTGGATGCAATTTACTAATTAACCAAAAACAGTCATTTATTAGCCCGCCATTTACCTTGGCTAGGGCTGTCTAATGGATCACTTTCTTTCACACATTCTTCCCTATCTGATAACTTGCTGTATTTATGTCGTTGCCATTGTACAACTCTGATAAGATGGATGTCACCTCCTTTTTACAGACACAGACGATTTCCTCAAAACTAAAAGGATTTGATTTGATTAAGTGATGGCTCTAATGCCAATGGTCGTCTCTGTATGTGCATGATTTGATCTTTTGCAGACATTAACATTTTCTCATATTAAAAAGAAGATACCTAACAGATTTAATCTCATCCGAATTCATCAGTAACTCACCTGTCTTAGCTTTTCACATGTTCTTAACCTTCTTAAATTTATTGCATTCACCATTCTCTCGCCTTTCCCACTTCAAAAAGAGTGCCCAAGTCAACTAGAAAAAGCCCTTAATGTAAAGCTATTCTGTCAGTGTAAATTCAGAGGAATCGTAGTTCATGAACAAAAGGATTAAAATCTATATATGCTAGTTCAGGAAGGGGATACCCAGAATTCTGCTCTATTATTTCAAGTTCTTTTCATCCTTTGGTTTCTTTCTTTTCTTTTCCCTCAAGCAATTAATTCTTAGGGTAATGCTAATGGCAAACGCCAGTATTTACCTGACATTCTTGCTTCTCATATGCCTTCTAAAATCGGGTCAATCAGCACCAAAAGTATCCAATAATTATGTGCAAGATGCATGTAGTGTAACCAGATACCGTGCCCTTTGTGTCAACTCACTAGCATCATTTTCCAGCACTGCTAAGAAAAGTCCGGGCAAGTGGGCGCGAGCTGGGGTTTCAGTGACTATAGGAGAAACCAAGAATGTTGCTCAGTACTTAATGAAAGTGAAGAATTACAGGGAGATGAGGGGGAGATACAAAATTCCACTCTCAGATTGCATTGAATGCTTTCAAAATGCGATCGACCAGCTACACGAATCACTTGGGATTCTTAGGAAGCTAAGTGCCAGAAATTTTTATGCACAGATGGGGGACGTAACTACTTGGTTGAGTGCTGCACTCACCGATCAAGACACTTGCTTGGATGGTTTTGAGAATCCAATGGGAAAGCAAGCCAAAATGCTGCGGAATCGGGTTTTGAGATCCTCATATTTTACTAGTAACGCTTTGGCTTTGGTCAATAAACTTGCAACCTCCGGATTGAAATGCTTAAATGATCCTTGACGATTCTGATCAACTACTGGAGAAGGAATTTGATTGCAGGTTAATGATTAACAAGACCATACAGTCGTAGTGTATTTCAGCTGAACAAAGGCTTCAGTTCTGATATGTTAATTCAGTATGATAATAAAGCCACCAGGCATCAAAGAATATTTTGTTTCCGTTAATTGCATGCAGCTATGTATGAATTAATACTAAATCTAGCTTGTTCATGCAGAGCCCCTGCTTTAATTATATCAGCTTTAAAAGCTTTCTTTTTTACTTTTCTTGCTCAGTCTCGTACTTCAATATTTTTAGGCTGATGGGCAACATCCAATCTCCCATTGATTCAGCAAAAACTCAGAAACAGGGTTAAATCGACCATGTCAAAGTCAAACAAGCAATCGTCGAGGAAACGTGTGTTGCTACCATTTTTCCTTATGCTTCATAACAGTATTGCAATTTTAAGGCTACATTTTTTTTTTCTTTTTCAATTAATACTATTATAATATTCAAATTTTACCATTAATGTTAACCATTAATTCTACCTTTAAATTTTTAACAACTCATTTCTCAACTATTTTTTTGTCAATAGCTTCGAATTTTATATATCTTAAACTTATTTTTAGATCTTAATTTTTTTTTTCATTTTGTTATCACTTTACAGATTGTAAATAATAAAAATAAAAGAACATGACAACATATGTATACATGTAAACAAATTTATGGTTAGTTTTATTTTAATAATAATATTTAGTTAAATATTTAATTTTCTTATTTATGGATTAATTTTTTAAAAATTATTGTAATATAAAAATAATTTCAAATATACATTTTTTAAGAATTAATTATTAATAATATTCTCTTTAATTAAAATTAATTTTATTAACTTTCAAATTTATTTAAAATAGTTAATATCAAAATTATTCACATGATAAAAACTATTTTATTTTAAAAAAAATATAATTGAAATAAAATAAAATAATATTTCTTTTCTTTATTTTTTCTTTTCCTTTTCACAATTTAATGAAATAAAAGATGTGATTAATCAAATTCCTTTCCTCTCCTTTACTTATTTTAACCAACCAAACAAAATAATAAACTATTATTTCTTTTCTTTTAAAAACCTTTCTTTTCATATCTTTTTCTTCCCTTTAATAACTTCAATTCAAAGATAGGCTTAGTTTTTCAGTTTTTTTGCTTGGTCGATAATAATGAAGAAAAGATTTTGAGGCTGAAGAAAGTCATTCTTTTGGGCTTTCATTTACCAGTTCAAAAAGATATCAAATTTCCATACGCAGCCTTTATAACAGATCAAATTTGCAATCTGCTAAGATTGTAATTTGACGCTTGGCATGTCCGATGTTAATTTTATTCATGTTTAATGAAAATTTTAATTTTTTACTCAAAAAAGTAGAGATGAGTATTATATTATAAGCATAAAGATAAAAATAATATAATTTAAATTTTTATTAGATATAAAAATAAAAACAGATAATATAATACTCGTTTTATATTCATATTTTATATATATATATATTTAATAAATAGGTTTTTTATTAAATAATATAAATTATTATTTTAGATTACTTAAAATTATTAAAAATATATATTAATATATTTATAAAAAAATTTATACAAGATAAAAATTAAAAAATTAAAAAATAAATTTTTATTTTTGTTTCTTTTAAAAGTTAAGAGTATGTGAACTATTCATACTTATTAAATACTTGTAAAAATAAAAATAAACATAAATTTAAAATATTTTTTATATATAAATATAAAAATAAATATAATATAAAAATCTAAGAATGAAAATAAAAAATACCCTATCCTATTCATTCCCTAGCTATTGACGTCCCTCCTTCAAACAGAGACATGTGCCTCTTCCCGGTTCAAAATCAAGAAGGCGACGTACAGAGAAACGCAAACAAAGTAAAAATATACTGGCCACGTTACGAGAGAAAAAGAGGCAATGCGATGGGAGCAATTAGGCGTAGCCTTATCCCACGCATTTAGTTTGTGAGAAAGACAATACAAAGTTACATCCATTATTTTGTCTAAAGGTCTGATAAATACAGTGGCCACATTTTTCGATGAAGACATTACAATTTTTTAACAAAATGAAAGCTAATTAACCATGCACTTTACCATATATATATATAATATATTAGTATTTGTTAATTCAAGTGATAAAAAATTTAATTTTTTTTAATAAATATTGATTTTAAATTTTATGTTTAAAAAAAATAAACGTTGAAAAAAAAATATTTTTTTATTAAGTCCTATCCGACTCGATTTCGAAGTAATGAAAGTTCAAAGTGACTATTGAACATATTTATACACACTATTAATGGTAAATGATGTTAATGAAAGCTAAGTAACAAATTTAATGACTAACCATGCAATTTACTATCAAATCCTATTTGTTAAAAAACTATTTTTTCTTCATTATTAATTCCTCACAACTAAATATGTTAATTTTACATACGATCATAGACAGATGCTTTAAAGAGCTTAGCAATGCTATGGTTTGCCTAAAAATTTTGAATTTTCTTTATACATATTATTTTCATAATAATTTAAATTTTTTTTATAAAAAAACTAATTTGACCCCCTCAAACTTAAATTTATTATATTAATATATATTATTCTTTATTTTATATATTTATATTGGATATATAATTACAAAATTTATTTGTATCTAAATATTATAACTCTTAATTTTTATAAATTTACAATTCTTTAACTTGTGTTTACTTATTATAAATGTTTTTCAAGTTAAAATGAATAAATTTGTCTTATACTATATCTTCACAAACATGTAAATTTAAATTTAATATATATGCAAGTATTATAATAACTAAAATGATTTGATAAATATGATTCTTTTTTTGAACCAATTATTTTATTATATTCTATGTATTCATTTTATTTAAAAATTATTACATATCAAAATAATTAATATGACTAATTTAAATACTTTTTAATTTTTCATACTATAAAAATACCACTTAAAAAATTTGAAAGTTTCAATTTAAAGTATCTAAGTCTTTATTTTATTATTTTAAAATTTAATTTTTTATTTAAAAATATATTTTTATGTTTTTTTTACTTTAATACTTTAAATATTAAATATAATAAAATAATGTTAATATTTCTAAAAAATATAATGATTTTATTTTTATAAAAAATATTATCAGTGATTTATATTTAGAAATTATGAGACTAATGGTTCAATAAATCCATTTTATTTTATATATATATATTTACATATTAGCATAGTATAATTTTAAGTTTTGTTATTAGATGTTTGCATCTATTTTTTATTATTAATAGATTTAATATATTTTAAAATATTATTATAAAAATATTATTTTAATTCTTTCAAAATTAAATGTGAAGATTCATCATTAAATATGATGTGATATCATTACAAAAATAATACCAAAAAAATAAAAATAATATAATTTAAAATTTTAATAAAAATAGTATATAAATTTTATAATACAAAAAATATATATATCATATTAAACGAATGAATATAAATTATAATATAATAATTTTTAAATTTTATATTTATTTGATATAAAACAAATCCAATATATAAACATAAATTATTAAATTTACTCAAATTTCGAAGGTAGCCCCGATTTGCATCCACTCCGTGCACATTATCTTTGACTCCCTAACAAAAAAAAGGTACTAATTTTAGTTCAGAGTATTCGGAGTTATTTTATTGTTTAGCTATATTTCGACGCGTGTCAGATGAAATCATAAAATATAAAAAGAATAAAATGCCGAGAGAACTCGAAAGAAGAATAGACAAAGAAAATCTTGATGGTACCATGTAGAGTTAATAGCACTTGTGTTTTTCAAATTTTAAGTTAAATTTTATTTTAGTTCATAATTTTAAAAAAATTAATTAGATTTTTAATTATTTAAAATTATTTTAATTTAGTCCTTCACGTTACGAAATAGAATAATCAAAATAAAATTTTACTCAAAATTTAGAGACTAAAAATGCTATTATTTCAATTTTTTTACTTTAAATATATTTTTTATAAAATATTAAATTTAACATAATGTTTTTATATTTTTATTGTAACATAATTTATTTGTTAATTTTTTTTTGATAAAAATAGATATTCAAAAATTAAAATTAAGTTAAAAATTTTTAATTTTTTTGAAAAAAGTTCATATCATTTTAAAAATAAAAACTATTTTATATTAAGAAAATATTATTTTACTAAGAATTCATAATAGAATATATTATTTTCCATCCCAAAAATTTATTTTCTGTTAAAAGTATTAAATTTTTTTCTTTTTCTTTTTGTAATATATTTTATAAAATATATTTTATAAAAAAGAAAAAAATGAAAAACTAAAAATAAAGATAATTAGAAATTTTGATTTTTTACATTTCATGTATATTTAAAATAATATTTTTTTCTTATCATATTATTTATCAATAAGATCTATTTTTAATAGAAAATATATTTAAAAAATTAAAATTTAGTTAAAATTTTGAAAATCCTTTTCAAACAATTCTATATCATTTAAAAAATTAAATAAAAATTTCTATATCATTTTAGAAAATTAAATAAGAAACTCCATATATTAATTAAAAATATCATATTATTTTAAAAATAGATTTATTAATCTACTCAAAAATATATTTTCTTTCCAAAAAATATATTTTGAATGTATTTTTATTAAAAATTATATATATAATAAAAATTATTTTCAATAACTCGATTTCTTCATTTTATTGGATCAGAAGAGGTAATGGCCATTTTTATTTTTTTAATTTTCTATAAATATCAAATTTGAATAAAGAATAGATTCAAACTAGAAACAAATATTATCAATAGATTAATAATAAATAAATTTTTTAAAATGATTTGAAAATTTTACTTAATATTTTAAAAAAATTATGAAGTTTTTTATTTAAGTTTTTAAACTAATGTAAAATTTTTACTTAATTTTTTAAAAATGATATGTAATTTTTTTCCAAAGGATTT